GCGAAACGCTCTATTGATGTCAACATCTGATATAATCATCGCATATAACAAATCGTGATATCTTATTGCGCATTATTGTTGAGAATAGATGACAGAATGTTTCAAAGATTATATGTAAGTATATTGTAAAACTGCAGGCCATCGAATTTTTTTCTTGCGAGAGAACTAAATCAATTTTATGTCGGGGCGATTTATATAAACTGCCGCTAAATTTTTTACGCAACTGTCAGATATCGCAATCGCGCGTGCGAGAAGCACATGACCAGCGTATTACGATATGTTATCGACGCGTTTTATTTTGCTATTTTTACAATCTCGTTTTACACGATATACAGATCGTTGAAAAATTCAAGCAAATTCAATTGCGAATAGAAAGAAACACGATGAAACTCTACGGATGAGCCAGATCTATTTCACCGACCCCATTTCGACCCTCCCGACCTTTGGCTTTTGAAATTTATTACGGTCGATACGGGTAACCTTGGCGAGTTTTCTCGGGATTTTCAATTCAATGAAAGGATTTATAGAATACACAAATCCCCCCATCGTTCGCACGTGTGCCTCGAAAATTTTTCTACCTACCTACGTCCGGTACAATAAGCATCCTCGCACAAAGCATCGGGGTTTCGCAGAGGTCGAGCAGAACGAACGTATTTCTTCTACCCCCAGTTTTCTCCCGCTTTTCCATGCGCGAGTATTTCCCGCGGTAAATGGTGAAATGTTCTTCTCGTTCTTTATCCAACTGCATTTCCCAAGCTTACAATTTAATCGATAACCCGAGTAACCTACTAGTGTGTATATATGTATAAGAATATATATATCTAAATATGTATTTATATTTAAATATTTGTATTTAAATATTTATATTTAAATATTTGTATTTAAATATATGTATTTAAATATTTATATTTAAATATTTGTATTTAAATATTTGTATTTAAATATTTGTATTTAAATATTTATATTTAAATATTTATATTTAAATATTTATTGCCCGAATATAAGAATCAGACAATGTATCTTTCTACTTTTGTTTATTCCGTTTGTAGACCTTTAGAAACGATTTAATTCCTCAGATGTCATTACGAGAGGGAGTATGTCAGGGTTGAATTTTGTTTGATCGATACGCTTTTAGCATTTCGTATGCGATTGCATTTTTCTTTGCCTTTGATTATCTTATTACTATAAATTAAAACAAGCTCATTTTAGTAGCCTAATTTCGTAAAATGTGTGACGAAAGCCTAGTGTCCTCGGATTGACTCCTATTTTATCTTGTAAGATAAGAATGCAAGTGACGTAACTTTTATTAATGTTATAATTCTACAGGGTGTCTACTTCGTGGAAAACCTAGAAAACCTCGAATTCTCAGGAATTTCGTTTTTATCTTAAAAAATCAGGGAATTCTCATAGAATTTTATTCGAACTCGGGGAATTTTTTCAAAAATTCTCTCTTTGATAATTTTGTTCTTATATTGCAAGCATCGACAATTTGATTGGCCAATGATCGTGAATTATATGTTTCAAATATATTATCAATATATATCTTTCTCTTTGATTATATATTCATTGTCATAGCAAAAAATACTGAGTAGACATTTTTTATTCTAATTCTTACAATTAATGATAGAAAATGAAAATATTATGCAAATGAAAAATGCTTATCTTACAAAACTCATTCAGTTTTTCCCAGTAGATTTTTAAATTTATTATTTAAAATTTAAGTAGTTTATTTTTCCTTTCTATGAGTGAAAAGCATTAGAAAACGCACACCAAAAAAAACTTATTTTGAAAAGTTCCATCTGAAAATTCTTTAATTTTACCTGGAATTTTGAACAAATTATCTGAAAAATCAAGGAATTTTTTTACAAGCTTTGGATGGACACCTTGTTTTAACTCGGATTAAGGGAGACTTATTATAATCACGCATATTAATTAGAGTATTTTTCTCTTAATCCAAAAACATAAAATCTCTTTTCCAGTTTATCGTTGATGCTGTCGCGGGAAAACGACGCATCCCGGACTTTCACGGTCTAGTGATCTCTTTGCGACGATAACAATCGTGTTACCGAGCGCGACTGTAACGTGCCAGGGTATATTCCCAGCACGGAGAGTGAAACGAATCGATCGACGGCGAACAAGACTGCCGTCACTCCCGCTGCCGCGGTTGATAAGCCGGAAAGATTAATGAAAGGTCAGGGCCTCGTTAAGAGCACCGGGAAAAGGAGTGGGAACACGCGTGGTTTCCCAAATTTAGACACACGAACAGTCACGTGTGCGACTAGTATATATCATGTAATAAACGTCCTTTTGTTGGTTTTAAATTTATTCCTCCTCTCGCTTAATTAGCAAAGAAAGCCCGCTCAACTCTTCCATGAACTTTTCTTGCAGGAGAGAAATGAAATCTCGTGCGTGAACGAAGCGAGAGTCACTGGACGAGGACGAGCATCATCAGTCGCGAGGAGCGCTTATTGTCCGCTTCGTCCTCTCGCTCGGACGGGAAATTCCGCGACAGACGGCACGAAGTCTCGTTTAAAATTGCGCACGCCATTATGTCCGATTGCAAGAAGTGAATGGCGCGTGAATGGGATTATTTCTCTGGAATCGAATCGATGACGCACTGTGCACGCCGTGCAAAAACCGGTCGGCAAGGCATGGCGAGGCACAGCCGCGGTTCGACTCGCTCGTTTTCTCTGCCGCGCGTGCAGAAACAGCGGCGTCGAGGAGCGGCCCGAGGGCCCGTTTCGACGACCCCGAGACGGCCAATGAGACTCGGACTAAACGGACGCGGCTCTTGACGAGCTGACCGCCGGGGAAATCAAGCCAAGTTAACGGATCGCCGTCCTTCTCCGCTCACGCGAAGCGAACGTCAGTTCCCTCGACGCGGCGTATCGGGAAAATGACGTTCGCATATTAATCATTATCTTCCGAGCTCGCGGCTCTTGATTAATTATTTGTAATTCATGATTCGCGAACGCGCCATGAATATTTAACGGAAAGCCAAAGGAGGTGATTACGAGCGGTTGGCTGCTCGTGTAACTCTCTGACGGAATGGAAGAGAGATGCTCGGCCAGCTCGACGCGTTCGTTTGCGAGAGTATTGTAAAAAGAAGAAAAGGCTCTCGATTACATAGAGAAAATAATGCAAATGATTCTTCATTTCATGTTGATTCCGATGAAAATGCATATGTACTGTCCGGTTCGGATGAGGAGAGCGAACGCGAAACAGGGACAAGGCTCGGGGAGGTTTTTGTCAACAGTCCATTTAACCACGCGCGTGCACACAAAGCGCGTGCACGCGCGCAGGAATGTATTTTTAGTCATCGCCAGCGGTATTTAAAAATAAACGAAACGCTTCGCCATATAACCGTATTCTGTTTGAACCGCGTACACACGGTATGGTCTCTCGTTGCACACCCGGTATTCAAGTCCGGATTATCGTGAGGATGATGAAACGAAGGATAAGAAGTATTGACGCTTTTCAAACGGAATATGTCGACATTTAACGCTTCGCATTTTAGTTCGATTTATTTAATTTTTCCCTCGAGTGTTATCTGGATGCAAAAAATTGTGTGTAATCAGGATGTCTATTCTCTGGAAAAACATGGAAAACCTGGAATTCTCAGGGAATTTTTTTATACCTGGAAAAGTCAGGGAATTCTCATGGAATTTTATTGGGACACAGAGAATTTTTTTAAAAATTCTTTCTTTGATAATTTTGTTTTTATACTGTAAGCATATTTTTAATTAATTTTGTTTTTAAACAATTTGCCAATAAGCCATGTTGTGAATTATGTGTTTAAAATATATTATTAATATATATAATTTAATGTTTTAACAAAATAATAAATATGCAATACATATTCTTTATTTTAATTTTTAGTGACAAAAAATAAAAATGTTATGCAAGTTAAAAAATTTTATCTTAACGAAAGCTATTCAGTTTTATTTTCAGTACATTTATAAATCTAGCATTTGAGACTTAAGTGGCTTTGTGTTTTTCTTTCTTATGAATGAAAAGCATTGGAAAACGCGTACAATAAAAAAGCTTATTTTAGGATATTGCGTCAAAAAATGTTTAAAATATTCTCTTTATCTGGAATTTTGAACAAAAATACCTGGAAGATCAGAGAATTTTCAGGGAAATTTTTTACAGGATTTAAGTAGACACTCTGGTAATACTCACGAATCGAGGGGAAGAGATAATATATATATTTATAATTGCGTGACACGTTATTGTCGCGACAGGTTTCGCGTTTTTGTAACGATGTCGGGATATTTTTAGACGAGGTCTGGCAATTGGCCCATCGAACATGCCTTTTTTGTTGTATGAAAATTACGCGTGTGCGATTGCGAGATAATTGTCGTCATCCGTTCAGCGGATGAGCTTTTCCAGAAAACGATGTCGATTTTATTCATTTTGATTTTAAGCGATTTTCTAATTTATCGGCAATAAGGGGAAGGTGAATGCATCCTAATTTATAACGACATTCCTTATTTAAACCGCTACAAAATTGAGAATGTTATTTTTAGCAGACTATATATGTTCTTTTTTTCTTCACGATTCGTTCATTTCGCGATTATTCAACTTTTGTGCCATATGACATATTTGCTATTTATATCTCATAATTATTAAAAACCGCGCAAAGAATGGCATCCCATAAAAAGAAATTTATTTCACTTTCTTCTCCTTTCTTCCTTGGATTGCGGCGAGGCGATAAACAATAATTTCAGAGACCGAATGCGGTCGCGGAGAAAACCTTTCACTGTGGTCATTGATGGATGATCGAAGAGAAATTCTTAGGATCTAGTTTGAGATTTCTAGGACTCGGAAGGAGGGGGCTCGGGCCTTTTATCGTCCTTCAGAGACGGGTCACATTGTTACAAGAGATTTTGAAAATCATGTTATCTCGCTTACAACGAGATTTTCACGCGAATCTTTATTGCGATTATCTCTATAGCCAGATTCCTGTCATTAGTAACGGTTCATTTTTCACTTTTCAGGGTGGCTTTGCGAGAGTCTACCTAATGACTGACGTCAGTAACGGAAATCAATACGCGTGCAAGATTATCCCGAAGAATCGGATGCAGAAGATTCACATGCAAAAGGTGGGTACTTGTTAGAAAAGCGCATCTGTCTCTATATTTACACATTTCGCTGAATAACGTATTTACTTTGTTTGTAGATTGCGCGTGAGATCATGATCCACAAAGAGCTGAATCACGTAAACGTCGTCCAGATGCATCACTACTTCGAGGACAATCTCAACGTGTACATGCTTCTAGAAGCCTGCCCACGAAAAGTATATATATACAATATACATCTCTTAGTTACCTTGCTAATGTTTATTACTTCTTACCGCGCATTCATGAGAAAAAATTTCGCAACTCCATCTTCTACTTTTATGATAATATCTTGGTGCTGGTAGAAACTCGTCGATACTCGTGGCCGTTGCTTTATAAATTATTTAAACCGTCGACAGATATACTTAAAGCGATAATAAATAACGTCATCTTTTTATTTTATTTTTATCGTGTATTATGTAGTTGCACGATTTTTTAACATCCTTTTCCGTCATTTCTCGCTTTTAAAAACTTATTTCTCACGACATGCAACACCTGCAACGACTTGGATCGTTGTGTCGGAATCATTGTGCACGCCGTAACCGAGAAACAATTATAGGAGCCCGTCTGCAAACGACCGCGATCAGTAACGGCCGCGTATTTTCACCCTGCCACGCCGGAAAGAGAGCGGCACTTGCACTCTTCATGGCTGATCTGCCGACCTGTTTGTACCGTTAGGATGCGACGAAGCATCAACTAATCGCTTGATTATCCTCGCTCTCCCGCTCGATCGTCTTCGCGACTCCTATTTCCGTCCGTTTCTCGCGAGAAGATCGCTTGATTGACGGTTCAAGTCACGAAAAAAAGTCTCCATCCTGTGAAAAATTGTTTAGAGACGTAAACGTAAAGTGTGCTTGTAGCGAAAAAGGTGAAATAATGTGCGATAAGAAAAAGATTGAAAGCTGACGAGAACCATGACTTTAGTAGTAAAAGAAAATATTGCAGACTCTTAAAAGATCCACGCCTTATATCACATAAAACTGTTTACGGGAGGAACTTTTCAAGCTTTTTCTCGTCGCGTAAATAATCTCGGAAAATTATTTGGTTTCGCTGAACATGAGAGCGTGAAATAAATAACATTGGTGAGTATTTAGCGAAATTTTTTC